ATAATATTCCCACTTAATGGACTATTTCTCTCCATGCACTCTTTCTCCTACAAGTTCTGACTACAAAAAAAACTCATGTGGGTCCGCCCCTAGTAGGAAGTGCTTAATTTAATATTTTTATTAGAATACGGTGACCTGAATTCTATTTGGCTCGATCCGAAAATCTTGCGGTCCGAATTCTTGTAATTATTTTTGATAGAGTGGATTTCTCTTCATCTGCTCATGAATTTAAGTCGTAGCATCTATGCCCAACTATATCAACCTATCAATTATATAAATCAAGCCATAGCATCACAATGTCCAACTTAATTCTAGTATACGTAATATCAAGTTTTATAAATTATCTTAAACAAACTCCTATCTTTCTTTATCGAGACATAGTATTTCAATCGCCCATCTCACCGACAAACCAGACCAATTGTGCCGACCATCACCTTGGCCGTGTTCAAACCAACTTCGACCATCACAATATCTTAAAGTTGTGAGTTGCTCAATGATAAGAAGATTTCAATTTTCGATTCGATTCCAGAATTTGTTTAGAGAAGAATCTAAATGAATTTTGAGAAAATCGGCTCAAATGGCTTCGTCGAAGGTGATGGCGTCAACATCAACACCCAATCTAGAAAACGGTGCAATATGAAGAAGAAGATTATTTTCAATTACTAACCAGACTCGCCATTGAGGAAATTTTGAAGAACATTTATTTTGATCTTGATTCATTTATTGTGAATAATAATGGCATCGAAGGTGGGGATGTTGTTGTAGACGATGGGGATGCCAGTGGAGGAATAAGATATGGGACTATGGGAGTGGGGGTGAAGATGGAGAGATTATGCTATAGATTAGGGTGGGTACTGGGTATGGTGCATAGAGGGATTTTTTTTAGAGAGAGATGTTTTGACAGATGGGAGAAGGTATTATGTTAGGGTTATGTATTTTTTCTTTTTAAATAATAATTATCACCCGAATGTTGAAAAAGAATAATTAAAACCTGAATTTTGAAACTAAAATTTAAAAAGAAGGGTTATAGGTAATTTTCTCAAATCTAATACTTAATTTTTTATTAGATCACTTTAATTTTGAACTCAACTTTAAGATAGTCTTTATACACAATTAATTACATATGTCAGTTCACATGACAAATTAAATAATTTTTCAACAATACATCCATTCCAATCTCATAGATTCGATATGCTCCGCAGTAAACAAACAAACGAGATGGTTTGGCGTGACTTTTTAGGTGTTCAAATTCAATTAATCACTTTAATTCTAATATTACTAGAATTAGTTCACAACTACATTTAATGGTACGTCAGGTTCGTTCATGCTATATGTGCTTATGTGAGCAACTTGCATATGTGTGCGCCAGGCCATGAATGTTGAGTCGTGATGTTAAATAGGTCGAGTTGAGCTGCTCGGCTCGGCTCGGCTCGGCTCGGCTAGGCTCGACCCACCATACGAGCCAGTGCATTCACATGTGAGGCAGCACGAGCTGGCTCATAAATCATAGCTTGGCTCGCTCCACCACCTACTTTTCTGGGATATTAATTAATCTTATAGAAGATAAGATATCAATTCCTTTTCATGTGTACTTAAAGTTTTGATTGTTAAAACAACTGACGGAAGACAGATGATAGGATGGCTGAGGGCCATTGTTTTTATTTCTTTCACCACAGTGTCAGTTGTTTGCTTAGTCAAGTCTCTTTTTATTCACTACTGGAAGATGGAATTGCTTTTTAACTTTTATATTTTCTAGTTTTTTTTTTTTTTTTGTCCTTCACTTATGGAAAATGGGGGTAAGCCCTAAGGGGCAGGGGAATCAACAAGTGACTCTAAATACTCACACATATGCTACTAATTTACTAGGGAAAAAAATGTTCAAGTAAAGGAACATAAAGGGACTTGGTTCACAAACTTCAAGTTTCACCAAAGGAGTGATGCACTAAATCACCAAAACCGTGCCATGAGGTTGGATTCAATACATGTTAAATATTGGAAAATGACAGACATCTAA